AAATCAAAATGAACATAATGACATTTTTAATGCATGCTCCTAGTATTTTTGTGAACAAAGGTGTTTAATGAAGTTGTTCTAAATCATCTTTATTTTTAAAGCGCCTTATATAATATAGACTGTTTCAAAGCCGATTCACAGTATTAAACAGGAAAGTTAAAGCAATGCAATGCAAATATCATCATTTATGAGTCAAACAAATTCTGCTGTAAAGCAACTGTAGCAACACAAAAGTGTCATTATTCAGCTCCAAATGAATAAAATGAGCTGTGTTAATGTTATAATATTGTGTTTAAATGCTGCTGCTTGCTGCTTTCTGATGCTGTTTGATAAAAGCATCTGCCAAATTAATACTCTATTTATGTATATGAAATGCTAATATTGTGGTTGTTTGGTGCTGTGGTCTCCATCGGCAATGAACTGGAGATGAAGGTTTCTCCCAGGTGAGCTGATAAACATGTTGAGGTGTTTGCATGATGGAAATTCTCTGTGTGAATGAAGTCAATAGAGGAAGACATTTGTCTGGGGTCTAAACCACAATATCCTGAGCATACGGTCCATGTTCTGCACAAGGGTGAGCTGTGACAGTCAAATGCACCTGTGAGTGTGAATGTGTGTCTTTCCAATGAAGACCGGGAATTTCCTGAAAGATGTGGTTTCTAAAGGGAAACCAACAATGGACTGCGGCTGTGCTGGAACCCGGCGGGTCGTTTGAGAACCGTGCAACGATGATGAATTGAGTTTAAAACGGGATACATGTCAAAGCAAACAGAATTTGCATCTGTTTGCTTTGAGTTACATCACACTTGACAGCACAGACTTTCGCTAACATTGGCAATAATTTCTCTGACATTCAGATGAAATGAAGTGTGACATAATGTGAGTTTAAGAATTTATACTCTGACCCTCGTGCACTAAGTACTTCCTCATGCCAAGAACATTAACAAAAGATAAGAAAGACACTCATCTAGTTTTTTTCCCCCTGTGGGAAAAAGGGAAATCATGTTCATTGAAACTTTTAAGACTATATTGGCCAAAGTCTTTCAGATTTTATGTTGTGGATCCTGCATAATAAAGAAATAAATGACTGACCTTGATGTGAAATATTTTACA